AATCGAAATACTGTTGATGATTTACATGCATTTTGTAAATACCATGGATTTGAAACATTATCACAGTTTATTATAAAAGACAGATATCTAAATGAAGAGAATGTTCTTAAATGTATGGAGATGCTACATGCTTATTTGCATCTTGCATGTTCATTGGAAGAGGGTAAAGAATATGTGAAAGCATGGAAAACACGCTTAGAATTTGCAGCTTCACTTTTAACATCTTTGCATCCAAATATGGACAATAAAATTTACCTTAGAACATTAGGTTATTTTATAAAAAATATTTTTTTAAAAATATTTTTTGTTTCTTTATTATAATGCTTACTTGATTTCAAAAAAAAAATTTCTTTTAGACATTCTATGCCTATTCTTAAAAATGAAATGTAATTCTGAACTTGTTAGAGATTGCTTAAAATTATTGATCGAAGAACATTCCAAATGGCAAAATAGATTATCTAGTCTTACGAAAGAAGGTAATGATGATTTTTTAGAATAATTTATTTAACGATAACAAGAACAGTATTTATTAATAATAGCAATAATATATTATCTATTATATAGATTTACTTTTAAATTTTGGTGGTAATCAATCAATTTTTCAACGTCTAAAATTATTTGAAGAAGAAACTGAAAGTTTGGGCATTAACAGTAGCAATATAGAAACACCTTCAATACACTTTTTCAGACCTTTCCTTCTCAGATTGCAACAAAAAAATGACATAATCCATTTACAAAATGAATTGTATAAACCTTATTTTAAATTGATAGAACAATTAGCCTTTTCAGGGATAGAAATAGAAGAATTTGATAAAGTCGTTCGATTATGTAAGTCTATTAATTAATATTCATATGTTTATGATGTCGATTGAGAAAATATAACAATACTATTTTCTATCTTTTACCTATAATACATATATAGGTTCATTGATAGTGCTTGAAATGTTGGAGATGGATGTATCAAATATTTTTAACATACTTTTAGATTTATTTGAAAAGCTTTCGGAGAATAAAAATGTTGTCAGCGCTTATAATCAGTTGGCGTTCTCTATGCTCCTGGAACACTTATTAAACTCAAATCCACGGTTATTACTTACCATGCTACCAGCTGAACGATTGAATACATTCAAGTCACTAATAAATATTGTAAGAAATTGGCTTGATTTTTATATTGCTAGAATAAATTTATATATATATAAACACATTTCTTGTTTAATTAATTGGTTATTATTGTAATGGGTTATGCTAGGTAAAAATCAATAAGTCAGACGTAATTCAACCGATTATGTTAAAATATATTCAACAGTTTGTGGCTAATGTTAAGGTATTGAAAGAAAAATTGGAAGTTAAAGATTTGGTTTTGGTACATGCAACTATTGAAGAACTTTTAATGGTAAGAATTTATTAATTGATTGATTAAAAATATATATATATATATTAAAATTAACAAATTAAATTGAATGAAATGAATGAATGAATGAATAGCAGAATAGTTAATTACTAACCAATAGGTTTTTTCTTACATATACAAAGATATTGCGGATTTTAATAATTATTTTATCAGATAATGACTTGTCAGCAGATGATTCACTTGCAAAAATTTATTTAGAAAGTCTAAAAGATATCCTCAATTTGGAACAAGCCAAAACAATAATTGGTGAACATATCGAGAATATTGACGAGTATTTCAACAAGATAAACCAACTTTCTACTCAATTAATTTCATTACAAGTATTAGTAGTACAACCTAGTGATAAGGATGGGAATATTGTTGCTGTTGTTGGCGGTGATATTGAAAATACTGGGGATGATCAACAACAAGAACATGTGCATGTGTATGAGCAAATACAAGAACATGAACAGCAAGTACAAGTAATACAAGAACAAACAAAAGATGATGTTGAAATTAATGATAGTATCGAAGCTATCAATGAAAACGAAAACAACAAAAACAATGGTGACAATGAAGAAATTATAGGTGAAAATATTATTGTCGAAGAAAATCTTGGTATTAAAGAAAATTTTGTTGGTGAAAATAATAATAATATCAGTATTGGTGAAGATAACAATGTTGAAATGGTTATTAGTGGTGAAGATGATGTTAATATTAATGGAAATAATATTGTCGCTGTTACTAATACTATTACTAATGAAAATGAAGATGAAAATGTTATTATTAATAGTAATATTAGTAATAATGATAATAATAATAATGCTATTAGCATTGATGAGGATAATAATGATAGTGCTGCCATAATTAAAGATATGGAGGAGGACGCTGGAGATCAAAAGGTATTATAATAATATGAAGAAAAAGGTATATTGTGGTTTATTTATATATATCAATTCTTTTTATATTGTGTATATGACCAAACAACTTTATAAAAAAAATTTGTAGTATATTCAAAAAAGATATAAATTTTTTTTGCTTATTTTAATTAATCAAATATTTATTAGTGTTTTTTATTATATTATATTAGTATATATATTATATTAGCATTTAAAATAATAAATTTTACTCATTCAATCCATTCAAACTAATCAAATAAATGAAGGGCTCTTAGTTGCCTGGATTGAACCATACATTTAATTGGTAATCGACAGATATATTGTAGGCTTTTTTTATAGACGGGATTTTTAAACCAAAACCGCAGTCTAATCAATCGAATTGATGGAATTGGTATATTGAAAGGACAAACCAGTAATATTTGATCCTTAAAGTCATGCACTGAAACAGTATGAGCTAGATGTTGAAAGTTATCACGCCCTTTGTTCATTTACAGCAAGAATGTTTTGTTCAGCTTTATTTTTTCAAGAATTTCTTTGCATAATCCCAAAATTCAGGTCTGCCCTTCATTAATTCTTCGTAAATCAGTTATAATAACTAGGGTCTCTCAATTCTATCATTAATTACACTCTCTGCTCTACATTTTTGCCAGTCATATTTTCTGAGGAGCTACTATCATCAACATTTCTTTTAAAAGAACTCTTGCATTTGCTTTCCTCACATTGTCCAAATAAAGCTCCATTGTTTTAATAAAGAACTTTTCATTGCTCTTGTAAACTTTGAAGTTTTGATTTAAATTAATTCTTACAAGATTAGAAATTTCTGTTACACTACTATTTCACCAACTTTCCATATATAATGATACATGAAAATGCAGAGTCCCTCCCAATTTATTAATATAACGAAATTTGTTCCTAAAAATTGTATAAATAAAATTAATCAGAATATTTAAATTCCAGTAATCCTCTTTGTCTAAAGTTTGAACCACGTTTTATAACGACTTTGATTATTATAAAAAATTATGTTGCATTCGCATCATCGACAACCGAACCACCACAATAGTCTATTTGGGGGTGTCATACAAGTAGATCAACAAATCTAATTAATATCATTATGATAAATTAATATGAACGGTTTTTTTATGGATGTTACACGGAATACTGAAAGGGAAAATTTACCATTTAAAAAAAAAAATAAATAAAAGAAATAAAAACAAAAAAACCAGAGTTATATATATTCAGAAGATACTCTGCTGTAATACTAATATACATTTTGAAATGTTATTGCATGGCGAATTTCTAAGGAAACAATAATAAAAATAAAAATTCCAAAAGACCCGTCACAATATAACAAATGTTGATTGTGATTTTTTCATCACTGGTATTTGTTACCTTCAAAGACCTCTCTGTACCAATAAACTAGATATATTATACATTCCATACTCAAAGTTGGAAATAATATCTCTCTAAAATATAATAGTTGGCGATGTTTTGTACAAGTAAATACTTTTAATTGGATGCTTCATTATTTAGATAAATTCAGATTAACAAGTAAACCCAAAAGTACTACTCTTGCATAAGCTATTGTTGGATACATTTGTGTAGAAAGTTCAATTGTAGTGACATCAAACTGTGATAACAATCCAGTCAAATTCTAAAAATCAAGATTTAAAATTAATAAATAGGTTATAAATTTGGTAAAATCATTATAACCTTTTATGTAGTTCATGCCAAAGGTGTTTAAGTCATGAATCAATTGTAACAATATCCTCTAATGTTGCACTATTACCCAAAAAATTTGGAATAAATGAATCCATAACAGGATCAGGGGATTCCATAATTTCTTGAACTTTATTCCTCACAGTAGCTGGCTTGTTATGTTTCCTTTGATCTGGCAAGAGTGCTAATATTTGTTCTGTGTTGAACCCGAGATCTCAAAGATGGGCTCTTGCATTTTTACGAACATGCCAGTCATGAATTTTATTGCAGAATTCATTAGCATAGGCATTCAGTTGAGATGGATCCATCTGATGAGTTAATTCATATTTTTTTTACAATTTCATTCATGTTGGCAAACATTTTGATAGTATGTAGAAGTAATAGAAGTAACTATACTATGGCTATGTATGAAATATATTCTTTCAGGTTTGAAATTAATTACTTGTTCCTTTGATAATAGGTCTTAGATATATGAAAAATTGTATTTTTGAATGTTTATCAATTATTACATATAAAAAAGTGTTTAACACATCATAATATCAAAATTACCTTACATGAAACATCATCTTACCAATACATTAAAAGTGATGATATTAGTATTAGATAAAATAGCTTCAAGATCCTCTCTGATTTGTCTTTCAATTCTAATTTTTCCTGTTTTACTTTTCCAACTAGGGCTTGAACTAATTGGTTTGGAAAAATTGCTCTGACAACACTTGTGTTTGGCTTCTCTTTTCTCCAAGAAAATTTAATATGGAACATATGTTTATCACTCAATAGAAATAACATAGATCCCCTACATTGACACTATAATTATTTCAAGATGATAAAGTCAGTATTCACTTGAGTTGAG